TGTAAAATAAAGCAAATTAAAAAAAAAAAAAAAAATTTGGTGGATCATAGAAAATTTCATTGACTTCCGGGGGGTCTTGCATTGACTTCCGCATAACAAAATAACCAATCAGCATTCAATTACATACACTGTGAGTGAGCGCACATTTCGCGAGGAGCAATGTTTTGAAACACGTTTCCTGGTTACGATTCATTATTATGCAAATTCTCGCCTGGCTAAACCCGCTAGTCTGAATGCCCAGCAGAGTTAAGCCCAAGTTAAGACCGTCCAAGTCTGAACGTAGCCTCAGTACTGTAATCAGTTTAGTTTATCACATTGGGTGTCTGGCATTAGTATATCACAATACTGTCGTATAGAATTTTTAAACGTACAGTACTGTACAGCAATGATACTACAGTATACAGCCATTTAAAAATGCATTACAGTAGAACCCCTCGTACATACGGCACGGGCCCAGAGCCGTTCGTAAATGCGGGTATTCGTAAAATCGGGATTGACCCAAATTCCTATATATTTGCACTGGTACTACTTACACTGGCATAAACTAGGCCTACAGTACAGGCCTACGCAGCTACTGTAAGTCTGAGGGGGCCTAGGCCTACAGTAGGCAGCTTCTAAGCATTCTGATCCCACTCTAGGCCCTACACAAATTTGTTTTTATCGGACATTTTTACCTTCTTAAAATACCTAGATTGTGGATTTTACTCCAACACAACTTCCATAGATAAAGTACTTGTTTATTATATATATTGATCATTCAATAAAACAATCAAGCACTATGTTGAATTTTAAAGCTGAAAACGATGTTCGAAAGAGAAGTAAAATTTGTCGCATGCACATGTGTTGAAGCCATAAAAAACACCGACTTTGAAGAGGTCTGTTAGAGGGCCTCCTTCACTTGAGAATTACATAGTACTGTATAGTATGGTGTGTTGTGTTGTATGCATGCTAATAACAGTTACAATTCAAGTGGATTTTTTTTTTAAATCTTTCACTTAAATTTTTATGACGTCATCACTTTATTTTACGTTCGTAAAATCGGGAATTCGTTAAATCGAGGTTCGTAAATGAGGGTTTCTACTGTACTGTATTTAACTACCTGGTACTATAGCTAGTGATGAATACAGATATCACTTTATAAAGAGGTGCATTAACATGTCATCAATGAATGTAACAAAAAAGATATATTTCTTATTCATTGATTTTGAATAAAAAATTGATTGATTTGTTCATGATCAGTTTTTGGTCTGTGATCTCATTGTCAAAGTATCACTTGGTTCAGTGATTTTTTTCTTGTCAGTGCTCAGTGTAAATAATACTACAGTGAGTAGGATGCGATGAAGTGATTCCAAAGGAAAATAGATGAAAAACTAAAATCAGAGATTGAGAACCGATTGTTGCCTGAGCCGTGCTCATTTGAATATGAATGCCAATCATTTTTAGACTGATTTCTGGATTATTTTCAAGGAGCTGAGGCTTTCATGCTTTCCATTCCAACAAGTAACATTCTTCAAATAGTGTTTACTACTGTACTGTAGTAATAGTATTCTAAGTGTTAATATATTTGTTACAAGTATTCTGATGCAGTTGGTGTCTCTAGGATTAGGGCTGTGGCGAAATGAAAAGCTAGTCACTACATGCAGTAGTTATGAAAACTCCTCATTAATGACTATTCAAATGAAAAAAATAGTAAAATCAGTCAGGTTAAAAAAAAAAACTATTTACTAACATTTTATTATCATTATTTAAAGTTAAATAAATATATAGAAGAAATGTACATTGTATTGTTTAGGTTTTCTCATCTCTGCTAGGGCATTAACTGGTAATCTAATTCTTTAAAAATTTGTCACATCTGATGTCTAAACACTATTGACCTGGTATCAAGTTTTATAGTTTCGTCTACCTGATTATGTTTGAGTGTTTCAATAGGTAACATAAATCATCTTTCTAGTTGAAAGCCAGGCTCTGAGGGAGAAAAATTTGTTAATATGTTGTGCAGTACAACTGGTTTTTCTAAGACATAAAAAGAATATAGTTTGACAAAATACTTGGGAACTTTTTTGAGCTACAGATTTTTGAATATTTAAAAACTTGTCGGTAGAGGGAAGGTGGTGTAACCACCCTTTCATAACCGAATCTCAAGTATTGTATTTGCAGAGCCACATGTATGCGTTGTGCGAGACTCAGAACCGTCCATTTTCCAGCGGGGTATAAATGTTTTTAACGTGACACATGTTGTAAGTGAACTTTCCACCTGGTGCGCAATGGTTAAAGCCTTATATTTTTGGGAATCTCCACCAAATATTGGTATGAAAACAACGTACATTCAATCAATGAAGTTTGTTTTTATCAATCGTAAATATGATTTAGCTTTAGTTTAATGTACTGTAACATTCGATAGATTTGAAAAATATAAATAATTTGCTAAATGTAGACTAGGCCCAATTAGGCTTGGCTGAGCTGATTAGGCCAAGCTGTCACTGTAAAAGTGGCCGTCCTAAATAATTATTGGCCGTCCAAAAGACAGCCAGGCGGCTTGCTGGCTAAGCCTATGACCACATCACATATGGACTTATTTACAGTCTATCGTACTATTAAAAAAATGCAGTCAGAGCAAAAACATTCAGTGATTTTACCTCTCATTCTCTTCCTTTGTTTAACAAATTGAATTTGGTAGATGTTTTTAAGTTGCACAAATTATGTATCTCTTTACGTTTGATCTCTATTATGATAAATTGCCACAAGATTTAAATGAATATTTTACACTTATATATCACACATCCACATGAAACTAGGCAAAAATCAAAGGGAAATTTATATCAACTGAAGGCAGCCACTACAACTGGACAATTTTCAAGTACCTCTATAGGCACTAAAATATGGAATGAAATAATTTCAATTTTTCTCTATAGCATATTTTTACCTTAGGCATACCGTTATTATTATTATTAATGAAGCATTTGTTTTAATTTATTTATTAATTTTATTCAGGGATGTCACCACGCTGGTCGGCGGTGGACGGGCCCGTCTAGCACTCAACATTTCCGACCAGGATTTACAGGCTCCTGACCCACTATTATTTCAACAGTTTACAAATTGTAACAAAATAATTAGTTTACCTAAACACAATAGACAAGCTAAATTGACAGATAAAGACAATAAGAATACAATAAATGTTTCCGTGGTTACGTTAATTGTAACAAAATACTGCCCTGCCCTGCTATTCATCGCTAACTTTAAACAGCCTAGGCCCAGTTGAGTCATAGCGAACATCGTGGACCGGCATGACACGGTTGCTCTGTACACATTCAAAGGTTAAAGTTGAAATCGTGACCATTCAAGTGTTTTATTTTGTATGATTATGAGTTAACCACTAGGATGTGCAAGGAGTCAAATGTCACTCCAAAAATTGACAAGGCCATTTTATTCAAAGCTAAATAAAATGGCCTTGTCAATTTTTGGAGTGACATTCATACTACTATGAGTTAAGAAAAAATATGTATAGTACTCCTCTTTAGAGGTATCCATGGTTACCTACAATACTTGGCAAATAGTACTACTACTGGAACTCATAACCTCATTGTTTGAAGTTGTAATTTGTGATTTGATCAATTTGAAAAGAATGCAAACATTACAAAGTATAATAATGTACAGACAGAGCATTGTTGTTTTTACCACAGTATTGTGATGATACATTTGGGGCATGTTTCTGCTGAATATCGAGAAAGAAGTTGGTTGATTGTCGTATTAGCAAGATAAGAACGGCGTTGCAACTGCATTTTTACTCCACATGAAACATTTACCAGACTGACGTCTCTATATTAACTATGACGTACAATCACCCAGAATGTAATTTAAAATGACCTTTATAAAACTTATTAAAAGCTTTTAAAACAAAACCAACCAACTACCAAGATACAAACAATTGAATACAGTGTCAGTATTTTACTGATTCCTCCTAATAGTAAATTATTATATCGTTGGGACTACCAGTGATAGGCCTACTAATACTGTATCACTGGATGGATTGGTGGATCACCCCGATAATTCGGATCATTATTAAAGAACTTGAGTATTTGTTTGAAGGTAAAATAGGCCTACTGTAAGGGGCCTAAATTATTGATATGAGAAATATTTTACAAAGTTTGATAAAAAGTGACTCTATTACATCCTTTTTGACAATTCTAGGCATAGGCCTAGCCTAGTGGCAAAGTTGGCCGTAGGTCAAATTAGGCTGCTATTTATGTTGCAGCTAAAAACTACCCCACGAAAAATAGTTCTTTTGTTCAAAGAACGGTTCTTCAGCGTTCCCGGCACGGTATTGGTGCCGTGCCAAAGGACGGTTCTTTTTTGTGGGCCCCGTTTCTACTAATACAAAAGAACAGTTCTTTCTTGTCTGTAGAAAGAGGCACATAGTGTCTGCTCTTCTTGACCTTGTGAGGTTTCTGGCTACAAATTGTTTTCCTATAGTACATTTTAACTGCTGTGTGTGCTGTTACATTCTTTATGTAAAATTGTATTCTTGAAAAAATAAAATCACGTAAATACCCTATAGACCCCCTTTTAATATTTACATTGGCCTGGCTGGAATGGTGGCGGCACTCTCACTTGGTAGGCAACTGGTAGGCAAAAGATTCGCCCAGTACATGCCAATTGCCAATGCATGGGAGATAAGTATACTGGTTATCTTTATTTTTGTTGTACCAAAAATATGAAAACTACGAATCACTGAAAACTACTGTACATGGAAGAAATTCACATGGCATAGTCAGGGGTCCCAAGCTGGAAGAAGTCAATTCTGGGAGCAGGGATGGCGCCAGTGGGGGAGGTGGCATTCTCAACCCTGCCGAAAAAAATATGTACTCTATTAACTTCAATTCAATAATTCAATTCATATTTACACCTAAAAAGAAGGACTTGGTTGTACTAGACATCAGATACAAAGGATCAGCTAAATCTTGAAATACAGTATTAATTGATGATATATTTTTGTTTTTCAGTGTGTACAGGGATGTAAATTTTGGAATAACTCAACAGTGGCAGATTGTATGTCAGATTGTGTAAGTTGAATCTCTGTTTTAACTTTTGATATCAGTGTTCTGTTTTGTACATTAAAAGTATACACACTAAATAGAAGTTTTAGTTCTTTCATTCCACAATACCTACTATACAATAGTATGTACTGTACATGTAACACAAATCGGTACAGTCCAGTATGTAGGTGAAGCTGAACCATTTAAAATATTAAACATAAAATTTGACATACAGTAGGCCGTACTGCACCAGACTGTATAATAGTAAAGCCTGCGCATGGGAATATCCTCCGCGCAAAAATTTGGCCTAGAAATCTGTTTAGCATTTTGGAAAATAAGGGCCGATTTCCGTGCAGATTTTGCCGAGAATTAAGATTTGACCAAATCTTAATGTATAAATAGTGCAATTATAGGTATGCAGCAATTACAATTCCATGATCCTATTTTCCTAGCAATTTTCCGCACAAAATTGGAGCTGATTTTTAGGTATCCTCTGCGCAAGTAAAAAACTTTACAGTTTGGCTACTGTATACTTTTACAAGTTTTCACCATGAGAAGGCTATAATTACTCAGTGTGGTGCCAGGATCATCTTGCAATGTTGGAAGGTGACCATTCTTTACTGTATATAATGTATTATTACTTTTTATGTAATATTACAGTTACATGATTTGTAGTGTTACCATCGATCTTTATCACATATTTTGAAAATACCAATCTTCATGAAATCTTTCTCTTGATGTAATGTAGGAGTGATAGAATTACAAATTAGTGGAACAACCTAGCAGGTATGCAGAGGTCACAGAATGTCAATTCTCCAATGATTTATGCCTTAGGGAAAAATGCATAAAACAAAATGCAACAAGATTTGTTGTGGTTTGGTAAATCAAAATTAAATCATTCATTGACTCTAAACAGACACCATTTACATCAGCTGTACTGTATACAGTTTGTAGTGTCATACTGTAGGCCTATATCTTCAGTAGTGGCAATGACAGTACTGTAGGCCTATCTGCAGTGGAGCATTTCGTGGGAAAATGAGGGATGCATCCCCAAAAAATACTTGCTTCCCTGGCGTTCCCTATAAAATGGGAATGCAATTATTTAGAACATATTGTTGGCTCTTTTTAAAGACTGCCTCTCACAGGAAAAAAAAAAATTTAATTCAGATTTCATTGTTATGTTAATGGATCAAAAATATTTGAATAAAATATTTTTAAGTTTCACTTTCTTAATATCAAATACGTAATATCCATATTTAGGGGTTAAGTAAACATCTTTATAGTATCAGCAGTGGTATTTCCTCAATATTACTGTAGGGCATCCCCTTAATAAAAGGTTGTGTCTAGGCATGGGGATGTACTGTAGTGCTATATCCCATTCTTGCAGAAATGTGTCCCAATATTACTACAAAAGGAGGGGTTTGATTATTATTTTGACAAAATTCTAATAACGATATAATGTATGCAGTAAATATAAATGTTAATTTTGATAAATGAGAGATTTAATCATGATATATCAACATGATTCAGTAGTGACATAACTAAGGCCTCCAAAGTTTATTGCCTCTTCCAAGGAGGTTTTCGTCTCCTCTTTGTTTGTTTGTTTGTTTATTAAATTTTGAAAGATCAAGGTTACAGGTCAAGGACACAATCAACGAAAAAAAAACTACCTTTTATATCATACAGTCGACAATTTGTATTAGAAATTTGTAAAATTTGGTCACAATGTTCCATGACCAACAATCTAAAGATTGTTCAATTTTGAATGGTCAAAGGTCAAGGTCACAATCAACAAAAAAAGTACATTATTTATATAACAGCCTACTGTGCACAGTGCTTACGAGGTTTGCCGAAGAAGTGTAACAAAAGAAACTGCCATTAATTTTTACGGTGATACCTGTGAAACAGTTGGTGTAGTGGTTAGAAGAGCACGGGTTAAAATTTCGTAATGTGATTTTTTGTTTTTCGTTATCTTTTATTTTGTTGACCGTACAAAACATATCCTACCATCTTATAACCATTCAAGCTGTTTAGGTATCGGCACTTGTCTGCAGTATATAAATTTTTTTCATGGAGACAATATGCGAGGGAAATTTATAAAGACAGGGCTCGAACTTCGCACTAGCAAACTAGCAATTTGCTAGTAGGTTTGTCATAATTGCTAGGTAAACATTCACAAACCAGCAAATTAAAAAAAATGATTGCTAGTTGGAATATCTATACAAAATATTTTGTAGTTAAACCTAGTAAGTAAAACAAATTAAGTAAAATAAAATATGAAAGAAAAGTCATATAAACTGGAACTTTTCAAAATAATATAATATAAAATTAATATAAAATAAATATAATATAAATTGATTATACTCATTTGGCTATTTCTTTGTGATATTTATTGTACTGTACTACACTCACCATAACAGAAAATATTATATTACAACATTTAACACACAAATTTCAATAAAGTACATCATAATCGTTAGTTGTTATTTTCATACAATTTATTTTCCAAAAATATTATGTTGGGTTGGTATCAATATATTTTATTAGTTGAGCAACTCATTTTGCCAGTTACATGTTTGACGACTAGCAAATTTTAGCATTAGGTTGCTAGTGGCTAAAAAAGTAAATTTCTAGGCCTGAAAGAGGAGAGTTCTACTGTAATGTGGGCGGAGGTATTCACTCTTAGAGTGCCCTCTAGTTTATTTGTTTATTTCTTGTTTAACCTTGGTTAATAACTTAGTTGAAACTAACTAACTTGTCATGATATATGGATACAGTACACAAAACATAAAATCCTCAACTGCAAATTTTAAAAATAATAATAATATTAACAGTAATCAAAAAATAATAATAAAAGGAATAATAAAAAAATCCCACTGGAACATAAATAAATGGATAATTAAAAAAAAAAAAAACAAGTACAGATGAACAGGAGTTTGTGCCGTGGGTACCTTCCTTTGTTATCAGGTAAAAACTGAGTGTTAGTTTTTAGCTCTTTTCTTTCCATATTAATTTGTGTTGAATGACAAGTTATTCATTGTTGAATAAAAGTTACACAATAATCATACTAATTACACAATTATAATAATAATAATTATTATTATTATTATCACTTACTATGATGATAATTCATAATGATAATAATGAAAACAATAATAATCATATCCACAGCTTGTTTTGTTTGTTATAGGTTTATATCCACCTAATTTAATCATAATAAAAATATTTATCTCATGCCCAACTATATGTAGTATTTTCACACGCAAGAGGATACTGTACTCCAATGTATTATCAAAATTGACAATTCTTCACAAGGACTGTTCGACCTCATCAACTTCCCATAACATTGTACTAGTAGTGTATGCCTGGCCACCATTTCACACTCATTTAGCACTGTGCGGAGCATGGGTGTTTGCTATTGAATTAAATGATAAATAAGTCAATAATTAAGATGAATAAATAAACTGTTTTAACTGTCATCTGATAATTGACATTAAGCCCTACTAACTCTTTTCAATTTTAGTTATAAATTTTTAAGTTATAAATTTTTTTTAACTTTCAAAAGAATTCTATAGTTAAAAATTAGACATACAGTAGTTGTCTCACGTTTTACATATATACTCTTCCGACAAACTCTTGTCAAAATGCTGTTGAAACTTGACAAAGGGAAAAAGAAATTCAAATTTATATTTTTAAATATTTGGCTTTATTTTCATCCAAGTCTGCGTTCTTTCACTACTGGATCTCTAGTTAATTTTTAAACTTTGTAGTTCATGAGTAACAGGTTGCCACATGGTGTCTCAATAAAGAGTGTGCACAGGCTAGTACCTGTACTGTACTGTTGGGCAACACCAGTAATTTTTGAGGAATTCCTTCGTGATGATTTGTCACTTGCTGGTGAGCTCATGGTTGAAACATGACTTTTAGTGCTGTCAGTGTAACGTGACTCTGTTCATGTACACATGCTGCATGTAGGCGATAAAATACACCTTTAAAAAAAAAATGTACAAGTGTTTTCAAGGAGGAATTTTCTTGAATCTACTATTATACTATACAGTACATTGGCACTTTAATAACTTATAGAATCATGTATTTATAATAATGATAATAATAATAATAATAATAACCAAACCTCACATCAATATTATTTTAAAAAAAACTATTATAAAACTATAAAAAATAATAAAAATGCTATATGATGTAAGGTGTTGTAATTTGTAAAAAAAAAATGATGTAAATGTGTAAAATTCTATTTCAACTTCAAGCAAATTATTTTTTTTGTTATTGTTTATTAAGTACAGTTTCCAGTCTCAAATTATACTCAAATTTCTTAACCAAAGAAAAGAAAATAATATACAGTATATCTAAATTATACATTTTTTTAACAATCACAGGTAAAATTGATATTTTTGATGTAAAAACCTTAATAAATATAGTGATATAAAAAAAAAACAGAGAATGATTAATCAGCAGAATACAATGAATAGGAGTACTGTACTGTATTCAGCTTTTAAACTGTTTATTGTATTACAGTATTGTGTGGAGTGCAGGATAAGCTCCCATGCCTTTCACATAGAATTTATTGTAAGAATAGTTTTCCAATACCAAGTTTTATGCATGAATGCAGTTCTCCCAAGGTTACTATGCTGTTCAGAGGTGTATAGTACTGTACAGTCTTTTTGGTACAAAGGCAGGTTGGATGGACAGGCTTTTAATAGGATCAGTATATAATTATCATACATTTACAGTATATAAAACACATAGATTGACTGCCAAGAAGAAGAAGGATGTCTTATCTGTTTGTTACATTTTATTCTGGAAGATGTGTGAATAGCCTATAATCAATCCTATGACCAGGATCACTTACAGTAAAAAATATCCCTTCTTGCATTAAATATCATCGAAATGGTGATAAAGTTCACCAATTTACAGTACATGTACTACCAGCATATGTGGCAAAGACAAGCCAAACCAGTCACTCGTCGCAAAATTCGATTTTGAGTTATTAATACAGTGTTAGAGAGTAAAATAATAGCTATAAAATAGTAAAAAAACCATTCAAATCGGACATTTCCTTATGAAGTTACAAGCGTTTAACCACACAGCTGTTTAAGAACAATATATGAGAAATCAGCCTTCAAAAGTTTATGATTTCAGGCAAAAAACTATCTTTAAATCCTTAAAAAGTGTTGTTTTAACATTCAAAATGGGGAAAATAACAGCATAGAATGATGTGTAGATATATAAAGTTTAGTTTAGTGCAATAAATTAGATTTTTTAAAATTTGACATTCCAGCATGTTTTGACCATTTTCTCTGAAACATGATTTGCGACGAGTGACTGGTTTGGCTTGTCTTTGCCACATATACTGTAGTTACAATTCAGATTCTTTACCTATGACTTGGCTTTTACCCTGGATCCTGCCAAGGGCTGGGACTATACAGTACTATACACCTGGATCCCTGCAGTCTTACCCCGGGGGGCTCACTCTTAAATATTTCTATACGGGTAGGTGCCGCATTTACGGGGGTATTTTTGAGGAATTGGTAGCACAAATGTGGAAATTTATTGAAGAGTTTCAGCGTGTATGGGTATATTTGCAAGGACTTTGTAGCACATGTGTGGGAAATACCTAGATAAAATTGGTAGATAAAGTCCCTGCTCCGTCCCATATAAAAGTAGCATAATCTTTCACACGATTTTAGCGAAGATTTTTTGCTAACCTCCGTCCTAAACCTACCGTTATGGCCACAAATTGTAGAGATCACTAACAGACAGAACCATGGTCTTATTAGCCATCGGGAACCATTACATGGCCGTAATAGTAGTTCAACCGACACCGGATTTTGGTAAATGGTAGTTCAAGTCCATAATAATTTTCAGTAAAATAGGTAGCGCAAGTGTCTCATGTCTTAAAGTGGCTACTGCACTCCCCCTCCCCCCTTTTCCCTTCCCCTTTTCCCTTCCCCTTTTCCCTTCCCCCTTTTCCCTTCCCCGTAAAGTTGCTATACAAGTGTGCCCCCCCCCTCCCATAATTTCGAATTTCTGTGGCAAAGTGTCTTTGTGTGCTGAATTATGGCAGCAATATACTGTAAGTTAGTGTACAGTGGCTTATTTATGTAACAGTTTCTAATGGGGTGGTGGGGGGGGGGGCTGATATCGTTTAAATAGCAATTCAATTGTTTGTGTATTTTTAGGGGTTTTTCTGTAGGATAAATCCAATCTTATCTAAAGTGCTTTGTTACAAATTGCATTCTTTCAGGTGTTCAATTTCCTTTCAAAGTGAAACTAAAGCAGAGTTTATGTTTACTCAATTCACTGTCTGCCGTATGACGCCAGTCGCTTGAGTGATGATAAGTCATCAATCAAATGCCTATAAAAAAAAATAGTTTTTTGAGCATTAACATGTAGTGTCTATAAAGTGCTATGTATACCAAAAGGTTCACTGATTATTATGTCAGATAAGAAAGTATAATACATAACCCAAGTATTAAAATACATGCCGCAGTGTTGAGATTCAATATTTTTCGACACTATGTCATCATCATTTTTCGACATTAATTATGTCATCATGAGGATTCATCGTGTTGGGATTAAATATGGTGACATTACATTTCATGATAACTTGTCTGTAGGATAAATGCAATCTTATCTAACATGCTTTGTTACAAAATTGCATTCTTTCATGTGCTCAATTTCCTTTCAAAGTTAAACTAAAGCAGTGTTTATGTTCACTCCATTCACTGTCTGGCATATGACGCCAGTCGCTAGAGTGATGATAAGTCATCAATCAAATGCCTAATAGTGACAATGAACGCTTTGTAATCCATTATACTTTTTACAAATGACTTAAATAATAATAATATGGTGGTTTTTAAGTTATTCTCTTTTCTGTATTCAACCTCAGGCCATCTGTGTTGGGTTTTTTTTTTGTTGTTTAAATACAATTTACAAACATAAATTACTACACATTTAGCTATTACAGTACTCCCCATTTTATAATGTTATGATTGTTTTGAACATTTACATGTATAATAGTCTACATTTATTGATTTTAATAAACGATGAAATTATTACAGTAGAACACGTAGTGTTATAAAAAAATAATAGTTTTTTTTAGCATTAACATGTAGTGTCTATAAAGCGCTTTAATGTATACCAAAAGGTTCACTGAATAATGTCAGATAAAAAAGTATAATACATAACAAAAGTATTAAAATACATGCCATAATGTTGAGATTAAATATTTTCGACATTAATTATATCATCATCATTTTTCGACATTAATTATATCATGAGGATTCATCGTGTTGGGATTAAATATGGTGACATTACATGTCATGATTTGTCGAAATATTAATCCCAACACGATGGCATGTGTTTCAATACTTGGAATACAGTACAGTAGGCCTATGTGCAGTGTTATACTTTCTTATACTGTATATGTATTCAATAGGCCACTATGTGATCCAGTACCACAGTTACAAAGACCAGTACCAGTATGGTTATAAGGCCTAATAAAAAAAAAAAGATTAGTTTATCATCCTTGCTCGCACGTCTTTTATAGTATTGAAAAGACAATTTTTTTTTTTAGGGGTAGAGAGAGAATTTTTTTTTTTTACTTTTTTTTATTACAAAAATTCTTTTAAAATTTTGTTTTAGTAAATAATTAGTAGATATTATTTGTGTTATGTCATTCTGATATCAATAACAATGCACTCAATGCAAGGGTGATAACGTTGACTAGTATTCAAATAACCATGGAATAGACATTTTAAATCAATCTCATGTGACCTGTTTTCAACCAATTAAATAAATAAAATAGGTGTTGAATAATGCTTGAAAATTTGCTTTCTTTCAGAATGAGACGTACTATTTAATAGGAAATACAGAGGTAAGAACATAGTACAGTATATTGTTGATGAACATACTGTAAAAATAACTGTATTGTTTAGGAAAAAAATTAAAACCTTTTGACAAATACTAAATTAATTATAATTTTCTTAGTTTTTTTTTGTTACTTATTGTAGTCAGATGATACAGGTAAATTATAGTAATATTAAATTTCATAAATCATAAATTGTTTTAATAATTTCAATCATCTTTTTTTAGGTGCAATATTGTAATGAAGGGTGTGAATATGCAGCTAATGAATATGCTAATATTGTAAAAGGTGAGATATTGTACTTCTGCCAAGGAGGAATGTCCTGTCTGTTTTTAATTGCTACACAAATTAAGGAATGGATAATATAAAAATCTAGTAAAATTGTACATCTAAGAAAGAGATGATTAACTATTGGGAAGAAAAGTTCAAAGGACAAGATCAAGGTCACAGAAAATTCATTTTCCCCTTAAACTTACCCTTGAGCGTAAAAGAAAATAGGGAGGCTTCGCAAGCAAACACATACAGTTAGTGTGACGGATACGTCATCAATTTATGACGTCATACGCCAGTTGCTGTCCACTAAACATGTGGATGACACGCATATGCGTAGGAAAATTTTGGATTTTTAATAGGATCTTCGGTTTTTTTTCACATTTTATCGTAAGTGTGAAAAACAAATGTATCTTTGAATATGTACGTGCCATTTTTGTGACATTTGAAGACCGCAAACTACGATACGATGCGTCTCATTTTAGGGTATCAAAACATCGGTGCTTGGACCTTGGTGGTGTCGGGATTTTCATGTAGGCCTAGCTTGTAGCCAGGCATTTTTGGGTCATAAACAATAGGGCGTATCACAAAATAACCAACTCTTCTCGGTAAAAAAGGGAGGAGTATTATTCGGCTACCAATTTCAATTCCCAAAACCTTATATAAAACTTTGAGAAGCATGATGAAAGAAAAAAATGGACTATAGACCTAGGCTCTAGGTTAATTAAGGGCCCAGGCCTAGGCTTGAACTGCACTGTGATTGCGATAAACGAAGAATGGCTACAAACCGTTACGGATAGCTAAACGTATGTGTAAACATATTCGTTAGCGTGCGAAACCTCAATTATTCATATTATTCGGTATCCAGGCACAGGGTGAAGGTATGCACTCTATGGCGTGACTGCTCTACTTGTTTATGATTTGTTGGTGGTTTTGTTGATTATTATTATTATTAACATTATTATTTATCATTAACATAAATAAGGGTTCACAGCTAACGATTACTTGCTCCATAGTTGTTGTATCATAAATTAAACCTTATAAAGGACTTTTATATATATTACTCTTTCGGTTTCCTCCTTTTACTAAAAAAACCTGACCCAAGGCTTGGTCAGGCTTGTTCAACACAATTTTTCTTTTATGGTGAACAGCTGGAATCGTTTTACTGATTTAACATGTTCGCTGCCAGGGCACAAGTTCACGTCTGACAGGGAAGTACCCAGAATTAATAATCTAAAAATAACTATCGTACGTTTGTTCATGTTTCAATACAGTTGAAAATGATTTTCTTGATGTAGGTGCCCAAATGCATTAGCATATGGGATGGAACTAAGAAAGTTCCTTGTTTGACAGTTGTTGATAATATATTTTAAAATCACAACTTAGAATAAAAATAAACACAACACAAAACCTGATGACATGCACTAGAATTAAATAAGAAATTATATTGAAAATGTTGTAGTTCTACATGTAAAATGTTATTGAAATCCAACTATCCTATACCTTTCTCAGGTGAAATTGGTACACCAACTCCACCTACCTTATCAAGTAACTTGAGTGATGTAACCAGTGTAAGCATACCGTTAACATGGGAAGATGCTGGACATCCCGAAGTTTCGTACCGTATTCAGTGGATTTACGCTGATGACCCATCAAGTATATGGCGCAACTATGATATACCAGTAAGAATTATGGGATACAATAGATTACGAAGAGCCCTGTTCATCCAGCTGAATAATATGAACATTCTAAATTATTCATCCACTTGATAGTCTCAGGGGCTGATTTAGAGGGGGCTAGGCCCCTTTTCGGAAAGTTTAAAAAAGAAGGAAAGAAAAAGAAATAATTGAGCACCCAAAACATCTCAGAGGTTATTTTTGGGCCTCTAGAAAACCAAAAAAATCACGGGTGAACGTCCCCAGACCCCCTAGGGTAGTGTTGTCTCGATTGCGCACCCCCCACCCCTTTTAGGACATCTGTGGATCTGCTCTTGATGTTTGCAATATGCCACAAACACAGAATGAAATTCAAAGGAAACAAATATTCAATTGCTTTAAAGATAAACAATATTTTTAAATTTGGTTCCATTTGCTAAAAAACTTAACTACATATAATTAATTTGGTTCCATTTGCTAACAAAATTAACTCCATTAATAATGATTCAGTTATTTAGAAAAAAAAAATGCACAGAATGAAATTCAAAGGAAATAAATATTCATTTCCTTTCAGAAATGAATATTTTAAAATTTGGTTCCATTTGCTAAAACACTTAACAACATTAATGATTCATATATATTAATATACATTGATGAATAATACAGTGATTCAGTTATTTAGAAAAAAAAAACACTGTGAAATTCAAAGGAAATAACTATTCAATTTCTTTAAGATAAAGGATATTTTTAAATTTGGTTGCAGTTGCTAAAGAACTTAACTGCATTAATGATTCATTTGGTTCCATTTGCTAAAAAAAACTTACTCCATTAATAGTTCAGTTATTTAGAAAACAAACACAGAATAAAATTCAAAGGGAATAAATATTCAATTCCTTTTAAAAGGATATTTTAAAATTTGGTTCCAGTTGCTAAAAGACTTAACTACATTACTGATTCATTTGGTTCCATTTGCTAAAAAAACTAATAATTTAGTTATATAGAAAGCAAACACAGAGTGAAATTCAAAGGAAATAAATTTTTAGTACATTAATGACAAATACGGAAACTAACTGAAAGGAAATACATATTCAATTTTTTAAAGATAAAAGATGTTTAAATTTTGTTCCAGTCACTAAAAAACTAAGGCCTAGTTCAGACTAGGTGAATAAACCCGGCTCAACTCACCGGGTTTATCCACCTGCCAGTCTGAACTAGATGGCTTATCTCAAGCCGGGCTGTGTTCCTATAATAACTAGGCCTGGCGCGCCACCGTGTTTAACTTTTCTAAGCTGGGCTTTAATCGTTGGGGGGGGGGGTCTTGTATTCAATTACATACACTGTGAGCGAGCGTACATTTCGCGAGCAATGTTTTGAAACTCGTTTTCTGGTTACGGTTCATTATTATGCAAATTCTCGCCTGGCTAAACCTGCTAGTCTGAACACCCGACAAAGTTAAGCCGGGCTTAACTCAAGC